TTCCTGTGTTGCATCCTGGAGCTAAGTTCAACCTGCTGGCAGCTTCCATGGATGCCAAGTTTTCTATAAGCACCCCTGGGTGCCACCACTGGGAGACATCAAGTTTTCAGGGTCTATTTGTTTGGTTTTTTTCCCCCAGGTTCCAGCCAGCAGCTGGGTTAATGGAGAGGATCCAAGCTATAGCTCAAAACGTCTCGGACATCGCAATAAAAGTAGATCAGATTCTCCGGAACAGCCTCCTGAATGGGAAAGGTGAGCATCCCCAGGGGTCCCCATGCTCCGAACCTCCTATGTGTTACGCAGTTGCAGTAGGGAGATCCAGCCCAGCCTAGCGCAGGAGCTTTGGTAAAAATGCAAGGGAAGGGATGCTGGTCTGAGGTTGCCCAGTTCACTCTTGTCTGCAGGATGAAGCAGGGCACCTGGAGCTCTTCGGCAGCCTTCCTAGGGCTGTTTGTGTCCAGCCCTGTGCAGATGCAGCACGTGGTCAGATGATCTCTTTGAGGGATAGGAGGTCCTGAGTGTGGTCTGAGCCTTCTCGCAGCTTTCCAGCACTCTCACCTTTCTATTGCAGCCGGGAAAAGGAGGCTGCATAGGGAACCACCCTCCGTGGCCTCTGACAGCAGCAATCTTCTAAAAGCATTGCCTTGCTCGGCCCAGGAGGACTCGAGAGCAGGGGAGATCAATCTGCAGAGGAGCAAGACCTGGGAAACTCATGCCTGCAAGGGGGAGGAATGGTGACAAATCTGAACTGCTGTCAGAAATAAATGCCACAGAATTAAATACAGAGTTAAAGATGAGGAGCGGTGCCAGCACAAACACCTGGATAGAAAAATGTGATGGGTTGGATCCAAAGCCCAGGGGCTGGGATCCAGTGCCAGGAGAGACGTTGCCATCCCAACCCGGCAGTGCTGCGAGGGCAGCTGGGCTCTCCAGATGTTTCTCCACACAGCTGCGTGTTTCCCGAGGTTTGAGCTGGCATCACCAAGTAGAAGATGCTTCCATTGCCTCTTCCACCTCATGCTTTTTCGGTTATAGGCAAAGGAGAACTTATAGGAAGGGCGTTGTCTTTTATTAATCCAACCACAGAGGAAGAATAGATCCTGTTACCATTTTTAGCCACTTTTGTGCCTTATTCTTTGGCTGGCCCCGGGGGCTGAGTCTTCTCTTGACAGCTCAGCAGGACGATTTTTATTGCAAGTTTACAGTATAAAGGCTGTCAAGTGCTTCCTTAGATACTGCAGCCTACTTACGGATGATTAACAGGAGCATGGATAGGTGGGACCTGGGGTCTGGACCGGGCTGGGAGCAGCAGGCAGGAGCTACAAAGAGACCTGCTGAGATTTAGGGAAGGGGAACGTGCTCTCAGCATTGAAGCAGGGCTGGGGGGTTTCCTCTGTTTTCTCCCTGACCTTGGGGAAGGTGCTTCACATCTTGGTGTCCTGCTCTGTAAGGTGGGATGGGGCTGTCTGCTGGCCCAGTTGTGATGCTGATGAATGTGCTTGGGGGCTGGCAGCCCCGTCCCACCCCATCCCAGCATTTCTGGCAGCTCTGCCAGCACATCCCAGCTCTCCCTATGCCCAAATTGTCTTTCTGCAGTGGTGGAAGGCAGGAGGGACCAGTGCGAGGTGCCCAGGGACCCCAAGTACCCTGACTGCGCTGGGAAAGTGGAGGTGAGTGGGGGTTCCCAGTCTGGGAGAGGGTCCTGGCTTGGGGTGGAAGCTGCTGGGAAGGGCACAAAGCAACAACTCCAGGGGTTAAACTGGGAAGGGCAGTGGGGAGGGGGATGCTTTCCAGAATAGAACTGTGTACTTTAGAATGGGAAAGGTGCAGCCCATTGCAGAAGAAGGAGCAGAACCAAAGATGTGGCAAGCAAAGCATGGCTGTACTGCGAGGAGAAAGCACAGGGGAAGTGTCCGAACTCCTCTGGGAGCCTTTGCTGCATGACTGTGGCTATTTTCCCCCGATACTAAGGTGTAATCCTTCAGATTTAGTCGTAGGAAGCACTGAAGCCGCGGTACCCAGAGGTGTGCAGGCAGCAACAGAATCAGCTCTGTGAGACCACCTCTGCCAGCAGCCCCCCCGCCTGCAGTGTCAGTGTTTAAGGACAGGAGTGCGGTGAGGAGAAAGCGCTGTCACATCGTCTTTAAATACCTGGAGTGTTAGCTCATGGCTGGGGAGTAATCTCAGCGTTCCACAGAAGAGCATCTTGTTAAGGTGGCCAGGACCTCCATCTCAAATAGGATGTCCTGCCTGACCCAGCCTGCTCTTTACACCTGGATGCAGCTTGGCATTTGGCCCGGACCATGATTGCTTTGTCAGAGAGCATATTTACATGAACTAATTAAAAGCATCTCCCTCTTCCCTCCCCTTCCCAGGCTCCTGCTTCAAGCTCAGGCTTCTGCAGGGCTGAGTCTCCCTGAAAAGATGTCGAAGGGTATATTAAAATGATGCCAGGGGGTTGTATTTTCCTCTTCCCCTGGTTCTAGGCATCCTTTCCTTCCACGATTTCAGTAAATTCAGGATGTAATTTAATTGTGGAAGGCTGCAATTCGATCTCCTGTCTGTGTGATTGCTGCATTTTACATATTGGGCGCAGCAATCTGTCTCCTGAGCGGGTTTCTTTTTGTAGAGTTAGGAAGCGGCTGGCAAGAGCCCTTGCGGGGGGTGATAAATCACTGCTCTGCTTGCTGGTTATTCTCCTTCATGTGAACTCATCCTCAGGGGCTGCTGGTGGGTCTGTCTCCTTGCCCCGCTGCGCCCAGGGCGATGGGATCAGCAGTTGGGCTTGCTTCCCAGCTCAGCTAAGGAGAAGAAAAACTTGTGGTGTATCCTTTCCTAGGGATTAAGGGCTGTGCCCCCGGGGAAGTCTTGTGTCGGTGCTGGAACCGGTGCTAGAAACCCAGGGAGCCCCCAGCAAACCCTCCTGGCTCTTCCTCTGCCCTGTGTGCCCTGGAGGCACCAGGTGGGCAACCATCGGCACCGCGGCCCTGGTGCTGGGTGGGTGCTGGTTTGCAGCCTTTTACTCACCTTCTGCCCTTCATTTCTAGCTCCCAGCTAGAGAAAGGTGATGGAGTACAGAGGTTGCCCATAGCAGGGGCAAGTCACAGGGCTGCCGTGTCCCCTCCTGGCCGGAGGATGAGCCCCACGTGTTTCTTTGCCCCCTCACAGTGGATGAGGGCCAGGTGGACCTCCGACCCCTGCTATGCGTTTTTTGGCGTGGACGGCACCGAGTGCTCATTCCTCATCTACCTCAGCGAAGTCGAGTGGTTCTGCCCTCCCCTGCCGTGGCGGAACCGGACGGCGGCTCAGCCTTCCCCCCCGCCGCTGCCCCAGGTGCAGGTAAGGTGGGGGCAGCCTGTGTCCTGCCAGTCCTGGGGGGCTTAGGGGGAGACGGTGGCTTCAAGGCTGCTGGAAATAAATATTCCCAGAGCCAGCGGTGTCAGCAGGGCCATGATGCCACACGTGGGTTTTTGTAGAATCACAGAACAGGTTGGGTTGGGAGGGACCTGCAAAGGCCACCCAGTCCAACCCCCCTGCAGGGAGCAGGGACATCTCCAACCCAATGGGGCTGCTCAGAGCCCCATCCAACCTGGGCTGGGATGTTCCCAGGGATGGGGCATCCACCCCCTCTCTGGGCAACCTGTGCCAGTGTTTCACCCCCCTCAACGTAACCAATGTCTTCCTTCTACCTAGTCTGAATCTCCCCTCTTTTAGTCTAAAACCATGACCCCTTGTCCTATCCCAACAAGTCTAAAAAGCCTGTCCCCATCTTTCTTAGCAGCCCCTTTTAAGCACTGAAAGGCTGCAATCAGGTGTCCCCGCAGCCTTCTCTTTGCCGGGCTGAACAACCCCAACTTTCCCAGCCTGTCCTCATAGGAGAGGGGTTCCAGCCCTCTGACCGTTTTTGTGGCCTCCTCTGGAACCACTCTGACAGGTCTGTGTCTTTCGTGTGCTGAGGAATCTGGGGTGTCACAAGATGCTCTGGGTGCAATGGGGCCCCTGGGATTTGGTGCATTAAATGGCAGAGCTGTGGTGTCAGGTCTGGTGGCACCCAGGGAAGCCGTCCATCCAGGAAGGACCCAGGGCCCCTCAGCCACGATGGGCAGACCTCTGCCAGCC